TATGTATTTGTAGATCTTCCTGATAGTGTATTCTTATAGTATTTCATGATCCAACTTGTATTAAATCTCAACACACCATTAATTTATCTATCGTTTAGAAACAAAATGAGTTTTTTTTTTGCAGAGTTTAAACGACCTATTTTATTATTTTTGAAAGATTTCCCAAGCTTTCGTGAATAAATAAGCATTTTTTCATGAATATACGAACTTTCAAAATAATAACTGCATAGATTTAAAGGTGTCAATCAGGGCAATTTTAGCCATTTTTGAACTTCCTCCTTTATTTATATTATTATCAAAATTTTTGATAATATATTATGAATTATTTGGATCATCAATTATGATTCCAATGAAATTCCATTCTTATTTATTTGATATATATAATTTATTTCAATTATTATAATTAAATCATATTTTTTTTTATTATGTACATTAATTTTCTAATAGAGTTTTTTTAATGTCAAATTGAGGCATTTAATTTGAGACTGTCAAAATGTAAGAAATAAGTTTATTTTATTAACGAACAAGCCAATCGATCATACATTTTATTCTTTTATCGTTCAGGACTCACGAAATAGATGTCAACACATTAGGGTAAATTTTTTTTACCCTTGCGGGATCGTCTTCTTAGATTTAGATTTGCTTTGTCGTTTGTAACGTATACGTCTTTTTCCAATTCACTTTAATAAAACCATTTTGTGTAATCAATATACAAACGTCCTTCATCCAAAACCTCCAAAACACAAAATCATAAAACGATATACTTTAGAACTTGTAAAAAAATTTTTCTATCCTTAAAAACGTTTTATAATCCAGTTAAATGCAACTTTTAAAGGTCCTGGGAAAATTCCAACTGGATCTTGTTCTGAGTGAACAATTTCAGGGGAGTAACGATCCATTTTAACGCTTGGAACCTGGATAAAATTGATCTTGAACACGAAATTTTGCCTTTTTATCACATTAATTGGGCTGTATTTCTTAAGATGTATGTATATCGTAGAGCTAAATAAATTATCGCATCGTGTTCAGTGACCAAAAAGAAAACATACAGTACCACATTTAAAATCCGGAAGCTGTTTTTGTATCAAACATGTACGAGGGCAAGATGAAAAGTAACCGACCTCAACATGAAAACATGAACTATGTACAAAGTTTTTAATTAAGTACCAAGTGTTATATATCAAATTACTCGTATTAAAAATATCTATAATTTATACTTTGACCACTTTTCTGAACAATTCATAGCTAAAAAGTTAGAGTCAAAAATATGTTAGCGCTTTTTTTCAAATCTGCCGCAGCAACTTATAAGCCTACCGAGCCTATGCTAACCTGTAGAGAAAAATGGTCAAGGCAGAAATTGTAGCCGCCTTTAATATGAGCAATATGATATATAACACTTGAATATATACCGAAAAGTTTGACTTCGATGGCGGCATCTTCAACAAGTTGTACTTTTTTTCTTAAATTTTCGTTTTTTGCTTTTTTTCTTATAGTTTTTTGGCTATAACTTTTTAGCTGTGAATTGTTTAGCAAAGTGGTCAAAGGAGAAATTAGAGATATTTTCAATGCAAGTAATTTGATATATAACACTTGGTACTTAACTGAAAACTGCGTTCATGTTCATGTTTCATGTTGAGGTCGGTTACTTTTCACCTTGCCCTCGTATTAAGGAAAATCTAAACTTTGATTTAAAAATTGTTCATTAGCGACCTCTAAATCTTAATATTTTTTAATAAACATTTAAAGTTTTTTTGGTATGAAATGGAAGCTTTTAAGCTAAGAAGTCAGTTAAAAAAAATTTTTTTTCCTTGTCAGTCTAAAAGCTTCCCTAGTAAAACCAAAGTTAATTTTTTTTTTTTTTAAGTTAAATTTCGCTTTGCGTGCAAACTTCGAAATTTATGAAATCTATGGAACTACACTTCCTAACCAGAATATAATCAACTTTAACAATTAATAATTCTCAATCTTGATACATGCTCCAACGACTAAATCTAAGGATAAATGTGAAATCAGCCAATGCGAGCCAACACAGGTTTTAAACGTGTCTAAATTCATATATTTAATCTTGAAAAGGATTTTCAAACATTTCAATCCTTTCGATTGGATCTTCTTCAGTGTATTGATGATAAAATCCATTCGTATAATTAAATTTAAGAGGTACAATAGAATTAGAGAATCGTTAACATACTATGATTTATTCATACTATGATTTCAATATTGTCTGTCGTATCTAATAGAATACTCAAATCATATATTTCAAATTATTTATAATTTAATAATGGTTTCGAATAAATTATTATATTAGGTGTTGGAATTAATTCGTAGCGTTTT